ACCCCCGTGGCACTTTGTCCTTCGCCTCCAAATTGGGGCCGCGACTCGCCTCGGCCGCTCCAAGCGAGGAGACGCTGTTTACGCCCCTTCCGAAAGGTTCCGATCTTCGCGAAGAGCTCTCAGGATACGGAGCTGGAAACCAATCTGCTTACACCTCTGCTTGGCATTTACAGCGGTGAAATTACGTTTTTGGCGTTCAAGGTTTAAACTGACGACACTTCTGTTATCAAATTTGAACTCTCACAACTTGAAATAAAAAGCAGTTTTACTTGGAAAATCGCAATACTGAAACATATCGTCTCACTTTGACAATTTTCTGTGAATCCTGGAAATGTGCCGAAGACTAGTGCAGTTGCTGTATAACCGGTAGATGTCCAATATTGTGATTACTGTCCTGGGTTCTATTAGAAAATCCGTCATAAACGTTTTTAAGGGACACTTACGTGAGCAACAATGGAGGTCAATATTAACGACAAATCAAAATATAAATAAAGTAGAGTAGTTACTGACTAATATAATAAAACAACTAAGAAGAGAGTGTTAATTTTAGTTATTGACACTTTAGAAACTTCCATCGATTAAAATATGAATAAAAAAACATAAATAGATATGAAACGAAACCGGATGTTTAACAGTAAATGCAGTGATAGATAAACACGTAATTAGCATATCGGAAGAAACACGGACATTAAACAATTGAAGGGGATGTACACAAAGAAGACCATGAATAAATAAATTTGGACGTGATCAGACATAGAAGACACCTGAAAAGAGGGAATCGTACTGGACGGACGGAACGTGCTGAGCAGTGATAGTGATAAGGAACAGAAAGAGGTGAACGGGTGTCGCGAAAAGATCTAACTGCAGTAGCAATTTTTTTATTGCAATTAATTTGCTTAAGGTTGTTTCTTCTCGGAAGATTAATAGTCTAATTGTAAATGAAGTTGAAAAATGAGGAGCGAATTGCGGTTATAAAACCGAGTGACCGGAATTTTTAAGAAATTTCGAAATTAATTGGAGATGGAAACAGAATTAAATCCAAATGCGATGGCATGGCATCGCAGATGGTAGAATATTAATGCAGCAACATCGTCATCCAAGTTTGCAGTGGATCAAGTTGTGTTGCTAATTTTGAGTAAAGATTTGATAATAAAAGGGGAACATGGCCATGCGTGAATGCAGTAATTGGAGAATGTATTTGTTTATAAACAGAGTATGTTAAGAATGCATAAATCGACTTATGATAAATTTTATGTTTTTTTGTTATTTTGTGTATGTTAGCAAGTACGGCGAGGCTCAGAAATTTTAGAGGAAAATGGTAAAAAATAGATATGATTTTTTTTCAGAAAGACAAACATATTCTATTTTTTGTTTACTTTAATGAAATAACTTCAATAAGTAAAATATTTCTACGAAATATTTCGTGATTGAAATCCCGTATGAGCAAATCTGTAACGATATAAATTTTTCAGGGGCCCGCAACAATTTTCTTGTCAAATAATGGACATAACATTTAGAAAGCCAGGGAAGGTGAAACCTTAGACATTTATCTATGAAATAAATAAAGTAAATTTATTTCCGTTAGAAAGAGGGGCGAAGTGGAAAATCATTACAATAGGCAGCGCAATAAATCCTTAGTCCATCAGAAAAATACCAATTCTGTGGCACTGTTTTATTCACCTTTATAAACTTGAACTTTCACGACTC